CAAGCTGTCGACATTGTTTGAAATCGCCTCGGAGAGCAATCCCCCGCCGTTCCGTTTGCCACCTCGTCGACCCCCGCACTTGGACGTCTCCTGGATCATCCACCCCGACAACTTGCCGATTGTGTTGACGGCACATCCGGTGGCAGACTCCTCGCTGATTCCTACCAAGCACCTCAACTTGCCGACCGACTTTTACGCCGACCCCAAGCGCCTGAAGCAGCTCGCGATGTTTTCCCGTCCCGGCCGCATCTTGCCTCGATATGACGAATTCATCTACAAGACACTTATGATTTTGCTTCAACGTCGGGGCAGGCTCACGGCTACGCAGGATCTCCACCGTCGTTGGATACGCTTCCTTGCAACTTGTCAGCAGCACACGTCCCAGCATCTCGTCGTCGACACGCGATCCCGTGAGCAGCAGCTTCTGTTGCAGGCCGCGCATCTCCGTCACGTGCTTCTGCATGGGCGTTCCGGCCACGTACACTTTGGTATGGAGCTAGTGGATGACATGCGACGCATCGGCAAAGTACGGCCAGTCTTCGTAACGGTCGATAAGGAGCTTTCAAACTTCGGCCGATGTCAACACGTGAGACACAAACGACAGGTTGTCGAGCGAATTCACGAGCAAATCAAACGCCTTGCCTTCCATGGGGTCGAATTCGGCGGCGTAGTCGTCGGTACGTTTCTCGTCGCCAACAATAGTCCATACGTTCTTGCTGCGCAGCTTGGCGTGGATGCGAACCTTGAAGATGTTGAAGTCGCCGCGGAAGACGATAAGTTCCGCCTTGATGTCGTCGTCGGTAGTTGGGCTCACAACCTATGAGACTACGAGGGGCAAATGGCCAGGAGACACTTGAGGGGTTGATGGTAAAATCAATTGTGAGGTTAGTTTTCCAAGCTGGCTGCCCAAAGTATTTCTATTCGTCCTTCTGTCAAGGGCCGCGGCGTAACAGGCAAGATAACTGCGTGCTGTCTCTGGCAAGATAATCAACTTCCGCCACTTCACTATCAAGCATTCACTCCGATCGATGTATGTACGTGCGCAAGTCATGTAGCGCATAGTACAGGATTCGTTCCCCGCCAAAGTCGTTTGTTGTTGAGATGCTTCAGTTTCTAAAAAAATTTGACCATCAGTAATAGAAATAACATTTGTAGGAATATAAGCAGAAACATCTCCAGCTTGAGTTTCAATAACAGGTAAAGCAGTTAAAGAACCACCACCAATATTTATATTCATTTTAGCAGCTCTTTCTAATAATCTTGAGTGTAAATAAAATACATCACCTGGATAAGCTTCATTAGATTACTCCAAAAATGTGTACCTTAACCAATACACATATCTTTTGTTAAATATCCTATAAAAATACTGCCAAAAGCTAATATCCCTAAAGATAATGCCATTTTAAAAGGAACATCATATGCATGTAATATTATATTTTTGCGCTTAAAAATGTATAAATATTAATCTAGTTGAATAAGAAGCTGTAAAAATTTGCTCCAATAGTACCCAACCAATAAGGAGAAAGGCCAACTTCATTAAAAGCTGCGTAAGCAATTTCCAAAAAAATCATCTTTGAATAAAAACCCGTTAAAGAGGGAAAACTCAAAATAAAACAAAAAATAAAGGGTTCCCTTAGTATTGGGATCGGCAATATATTTGCTAAGTTCCCAAACAACACAGTAACGAGTAAGGATGCATTCAATACACATAATCTAGCCAGTCCTAGCTGAGTACTTATCATAACTTGGTGTCAGCCACCTCATAGGAGATATCACGAGCATCTACTTGGCCGACGACTCGTTTGGCTCCAATTTTGAGTGAGAAAGTTCCCTGTATTTCGCACGTTTTAGCCTGCTCCTGATTTGGTGCAGGACGTCACCACGGGGCCGAGCTGACCTTCAAGGCTACGGAGGGAAATCGTAAGCAAAGTGCCATCGTCAGCAAAGAGTTACTCACACGTGCGAACAGAGACTCAGGCCAAGTGGTTCCACCGTAAGGATAAAGAGGAGGGGTAAAATGCAATTGCACCGTGGATGAGGACTCCACATTGCAACATTTTGTTCGCGGCGTCCTTCTCGCACTTGATGGCTTCGACTGGTTGTCGAGCAGCAGTGGTGGCCTTGCTACTTCCTCGTTGATCCCCTCGGTATGCTTGCCCGTGCGCGGCCTTGTGGAGCTATCTATCCCACGACCTAGCGTTTGTCGTACTTCTAGATAGGCATCGCGTCAGTGAAGGTCAGCGTGCCGGCCGCATGTTTGGCCAGGAGGGATATGAGGTTGGTCATCGAAGGACGGTGGGCAAGTCTTTGTCTCTGGTGGCCCTTGTGGCCTCGATACGCTTGGCGGTGAAGGCGGCCCATGGGTCATTCGTGAACGGAGGATTGGCGTCGCCGGTCAGCGGTGGTGATACGGCACCGTCGGCTAGGCATCCCCAGGTTGTGCAGGGTCGCCATCGCGACTTAGACAGGGTGACTGGGGCGAATCAAAGCCGTTGGCAGTGAGCGTGGACCTGACTCGCGATTGGCGGCTCATGGCGGAGTGCGGCACGAAGCGGGTCGACTTCGTGAAGCGGTGACCCCTGCTGCTAGGAACTGCACTAGATAGCCGCTGGGATGGTCGTGAAGCTGAGATCGCTGTCACCATAGTCGTGGACGCAGTGACGATGTGGCAGCGGCTGTGGTGGTGGCCGAGCCGGTGGCGTCGAAATCACCGTCGGCGGCAGGCGGCGACACCAAATCGACCGTCTCTACCTTCATATCACCGGAAAGCTCCTCACAGGGTCCGTTGTAGGTGGTGAGAGTGCATTCATACACGACAGGTATGGATAAACGAGTGCATCCACACCCGTCGTTGGCGTGGACGCACTGGCGATTAGGGCAGTGGCTGTGGCGGGCTTCTTGGTAAGGGCACAGCTGGCTCGGGTGGCGGCGCGCGGCAACCCTAAATGGTGCGTTAAAGCCACCTGTCACCGGAAGCAACCTCACAGGGTCCGTTGGCAGAAGGTGATGCTGTACGAGGATCCACCATATGCAAGGCAATACCGGGATCGGCAGCTGAAATCGTAGCCGAGCACGCCAGCCGAAATCGTCATATTTGGCCAGCAGCGACACCAAATCGTGAGCTTCGACCTCCATGTCCTCGGAATCATCTCGCAGGCTCTTAGAACAGAGGTAAGACTGCATTCACAGCGCCCACCATAGAATTGTCAGTCGCGGCGGCGGTAAGGGCCATGGACGGGCGTCAACCTTTGCTCGGATAGACATCACTGTGAACCAAGTGAAAATCTATGATGTTCCGAAGGTTACACTTCCTCCGTTCCACACATTTGCATGACTTTACGTCAACAACCTCAACTCGGGCTAGAGAGCGCATTAAGACACCCAATATGGCGAAAAAGATTGTCAATAACAAGCTCTACAGCCAGCTATATTCAGAACATATTAATCCCTATAACACCCGAGGTATAGACTGGCTACGGTTGGCTACAAATGACAAAATTCTTTGAAACTTCGTCATTTCTTATCCTTTTGCCTTCCAACCAAGTGCAAACGCTTTGTCTTGGTGCGAAGTTATTGCTAGCACCATTCAAAATCGCAAAAGACGTCCTTGAAGGCTAGCTACGGAATAACAACATGCCGCGTCCCACGACCAGTCATAACCTTACCGACGACCAAAGGCCGGCGGTTTACCATCGACTGCTGCAGCTCAAAAAAGAAGGGCGTGTTGGGCACGGCGAGATGAAAGAGCTCATGCGCACCTTTAACGTCAGCCAGGCAACAATCTCTCGGATCTGGACACGAGGGTGCACGCCAGCTGCTCTTACTGGGTGTGCCAAGGTTGCTTCCAAGATGGCCGGACGGATTGCAGGCACACGCAAGTACTCAGACGATGGTGCTCGCGACATTATTTCGAGTGTCCCCCACCACCTTCGGAGCAACTTTCGCTCATTGGCGTCGGCAACGGGCATCCCGAAGACAACTAATTGGCGTCTCCTCAAAGCTAAGAAGCTTCGTCGAACAACGAGTCGGCTCAAGCCTATGTTGACGGCAGATCATCGCCTTGCACGATACAACTTTGCCAAGTCATTCGTGCTTGCTGGTCAGATTGGCACTCGCCGTTGGCATGACATGATGGACATTGTTTATATCGACGAGAAGTGGTTTTACATCACACAAGTCGACCGTCGATTCTATCTTTGGCACGACGAGGCCGTTCCACAACGTAAAGCCCAGTCAAAACGGCATATCACGAAGGTCATGTTCTTGTGTGCTGTTGCTCGTCCTCGACATGACAGCAGACGTCATGCAATGTGGGATGGCAAGGTTGGTCTTTGGCCATTCGTTGAGACCAAGTTGGCAAAGCGGAAGAGCAAGAATCGAGACCGCGGCACTCCTGTGACTGTTCCTATGAGCGTGACCAAGCCCATTTACCACAACTACCTGATTGACAAGGTGTTTCCGGCAATCCAAGCCAAGTGGCCTGATGGTCGTGGAAGACCCATTTTTGTGCAACAAGGCAATGCAAAACCGCATGTGGCGTTGGATGACGCTGCCGTGAAGGCGGCGGGTCAGATGAACTGTTGGAACATCCAGCTCACAGCCCAGCCAGCGCAAAGCCCGGACTTCAATGTTCGACCTTGGATTCTTTAATGCCATCCAGTGCTTGCAGCATCAGACTTCTGCTCTATCAATCGATGACTTCATTCAGTGCGTTGAAGGAGCGTTCAAGAATCTGAAGTGGGCCATTTTGGACAAGACCTTCATGACTTTACAGAATGTTTTGGAGGAGTCAATGAAAATGGATGGCGACAATGTGTACAAGCTACCGCATTTGAAGAACGACATTCAACTGAAGGCGGGTCATCATGAGTTGCGGCCGTCATGCGACGAAGAAGTCCTTTTCGCTATTGATCTGATGGAGAGTCGATTGCAGGACGAGCAAAGAGTCGACGAAATTGTAGGTTTAATAGGTAATGGGCTTCGTGTCTCGGGCTCTGAAGCTCTTGACAGCATTGGTGAGCTCGTGGAACTACTGAATGATGTTGCAGTAGTGTAGCATATCATGCAATTGTTTGTCGTAAATTGTTGAGCTTGAATAAAAATATATGGAACACCCCGATATGTCCTGAATTTGGATACAAATTTCTCGATGTAGAATGCTGCAAAATAGTCATGCAAATGTACTGGAACGGAGGAAGTATGTGTAGCAAGCATTTATTGGCTAATTGACAATGTTAAGACCGTTTTTGAGCAGATTGTGTCACATTAAACGATTGATACAAGTAGAAGTGCTTGTAACAGCAATTTTTAAAAGTGGAAGAATGTGGACTTCCATTGACGGGGGACCCATAAAGTGTGACATGACCTTGTCAAAATTTATATTATTGAATACTTTGGTCAAGCCATATGGTCTCCACCCTTAGGCACAATTCCCCTACTTAATTCCTTTGAACATGTAGATAAGACACGCGCCATCCTGATGCAGATCTTCTAGAGTTCGAATGACAAGGCAAAACAGGAACCCGCCGCGATAGCTCAGTGGAGATTAGGATGTATTTGATCTTTATCCCCCTGACTATGTTCTTCGACCAAAGTGTTGGGCTTGAGGAAGATCCGTGTGGCATCCGTTGTGGGTTGCAGCGGTTTGCTTGCCATAGGCTGTTGAGGCTAGAGGAGTCGTTGAGTGTGCCGTTTGGATATGATGAAGGCTAGAGGGAGCTTTTTCCAATACCATGCGTAGAAAGATTGTTCCCCAAGGGTATGGAAGATATCCATCACCGTGCTGCGATCTACCGGGTCATTAATTTTCGTACGAAGCCATTGGCGTGCGCTATCGCTCTATGTGATAAACACTGCCTCGGCAAAAGCAGGGCAGTGCCTTGGTTTTGTATTTCAAGCGGTTTTGAGCCAGCCTGACCTGACGCTTGAGGATGGAGACGAGCATTGCCCATATCGGGCGGAAAAACTGAGTTTGTTGAGCCCCCTTTGGTGTGGTGCAGAGAACTAGTAGATGTTGGTGATGGCCCGTCAATACATGTCACAGTCGATTTGGTTCCGCGCTTAATGTATTACGCGGCACCCACTCGGGGGTTTTGTACACAAGGTAGTAAAACTTGTGACCGACTGGCAACATGCGAAAGAGTACACGCCACCAAAGGTCCGAATGCAACGACGACAGGAATGCGAAAGGTCGAGACTACTGTGCGTACCAAGTAACGCTGAATGGCGTCGTTGTATGCTCTGCTTGCCGTGAAGAGAGGGTGCAGAGTTGGAAATCCAGGGAGTGGGAACAAGCCCGC